CATCAAACAGAGTGGGGGAGTTCTTGAATCCTTGGGGAAGCTGCGTCCAGGTTAGTTGTCCTGATATTTCAGCTTCAGGGTCCTTCCATTCAAAGGCAAAGATGGGCTGGCTAACCGGGCTCAGCCTTAGGCAGAAGAACGCATCCTTCAGGTCAAGTACAGTATCCCACCTGTGACTAGGAGGTAAAGAACTCAGAAGATTATAGGGATTAGGAACAGTGGGATGGATATCTTCTATCCTCCGATTGACTTCTCTTAAGTCTTGAACTGGTCTATAATCATCTGTCCCTGGCTTTTTCACGGGGAGCAGCGGGGTGTTCCAAGAAAATTGGCAAGGGTGAATTATGCCCATTCGTAAAAGTCTTTGGATGTGAGGCCTGATTCCCTCTCGGGCCTCTTTGCTCATAGGGTATTGTTTGATTGAAATCGGAGTTGCAGATGGTTTTAGTGTAACCACTATTGGAGGCTGGTTATGTGCTAGTCCTGGGCCTCCTGTCTCGGCCCATGCCGAGGGGATTTTACTTAGCCAATCAGGTATACCAGGAATTCCTATCGGTCCCTCATATAACCGATGTTCATCTTCCAGCCGCAAGGTTAATACCTGTAGTGGAGCTCCATCTTTTCCTTTCACAGGAGCTCCCTTTGTAGTGAAATGGATGTGGGCTCCCAACTTGGAGAGTAAATCTCTCCCAAGAAGAGGGTATGGACAGTCGGGGACCAATAAGAACGAGTGAGAGACTCATCCTGTGCTGAGGTCCACTTTTCTTTCTGTGGTCCAGATCTGTATGTTTTTCCTCCGGTGGCCCCTTGGACCCAAGCTGTCTTGGAACTCATAGGTCCCTCAGTTGTTGTTAGGACCGAGTGCTGAACTCCTGTGTCTACCATGAAGGTAGTCAATTGTCCCCCTATCTTCAAGGTTACCCTGGGCTCAGAGGGGAGCTCCTGGCCCCGACTTCCCTAGTCCCCTAGAGTCAGGACTGGGGTTTACTTTTGAAGTCTGTTCAGCTTCTTCGGACATTCTTGAGCCCAATGTCCTCTCTCCTTGCAATAGGCACACTGGTCTTTTATCTACTCGGTGCCTTCTCTTGTCTCCCAGGTTCCTACCTGGTCCTGGTCCTGTTCCCTGAACTACTGTGGCCAAAATTTGACTTAATTCTTTATTTTTCTCTTACTAAATCCTGTAAAGAGTACCCCTGAAGGCCCTCCAGCCATTGGAGCTTACCACAAATGTCAGGAGCTGATTGTCCTATAAAGGCCATAATAAGATCTGCCTGACGCTCCTGGGCTGTGGTATCAAAAGGGGTGTACATCCGATATTCCTCTATCAAGCATTCTAGAAACCCTGCGGGGGTTTCATTTTTTCCTTGGGTTATAGCACGTACCTTTGCCAAATTGGTCGGGCACCTTCTAGCCCCTTTGAGACCTGCTAACAGAGTCTGGCAATAAAGACGGAGACGCTCCCTACCAGCCATGGTTTCAGGGTCCCAGTTGGGTCTGGTCAGAGGAAATCCTGCGTCTATTTCATTTGGGAGCAGAGTGGGTCTCCCATCCTGCCCGGGAACATTTTTCCAGGCCTCCAGGATGACTTGCTGCCTTTCTTCTGTGGTTAGAAGGGCCTAGGGGAGTTGCT